GTGGAAGCAAACTGATTCAGTGGGTGGAATATCAATAGAATTTTGGATCATAATCGGATGATGAAAGACAGACAGTCTATATCAACGTTACACATACCTGCAACTAAGCAGAGTCATTCAACGGTGCTCGGAAGACATGGCTACGTTCCGCGTGCTCATCGCGGTTCTAATTGCTGTGCCATCCTTATCAGTGGCCCAAAACTCGGTAAGTTCCTGCGAAATTCGCAAAGTTCTGTCTGACTCCAATGATAAAAATAAAAATTTCTCTTCTGCCTAACATGCAATGCAGTTTTATCCACACAAATATCCCTTCAACAGTTCTAGTTGACAATTGATGCACAAATTTGTTTTATTCAGCAAGATAACTGAGAAAAAAGAAGTCTAATTCTGGTATGGCACCTAACACTGTAATGCTAGCATGGCATCTGGTACTGCAAGTAGGCAATTTTTATGTCTTTGACTTAATTTTTCGGTCTGGGCAAATTTTTGTGCAGAAATGGACCAAATTGGTCATTGATTTGCTAGTAAATCCCGCAATATTCTCTCCGTATTCAATTTCCATGAAAGGCCGAAACACTCAAGAAATAGTCCGAATTATAGCAAGTGCCAGCAACAACTTCCTGCCAGAAGAGCTATCGATTGCTCTTTCTTCCAATGGTTACTTTCAAGCAAGCTGATGGCTGATTTGACTTTTGGCTTATGTTAGTACCAATTTACGTTTCTGCACAGTTATAATCCAACCGGAAACGGCATAAGATAACGTCACAAAGATGTCAAGAAAAACCAAACGCGAACAGCATGGAGCTGTATTTTGCTCAGTTGAGCCAAGTGTGGAAGTAGCACAAAAGGAAAGAAGGGATTTGGCTAGTTATTGTCGTGACATTTTCTTTCATAATTTGATAAGCTGCGACTCATAGCGTGTTCTCCACTGAAGAAACTGGCATCTCGTCCATTGGCTTTGTCCGCTGCTGTATCGTCTTAATGCTCATTCTACTTGCCGTCCTAATATTCGCTTCGCTTCTTGAAAGGATTGCCAGTTCAGTGGTTCTCCCGGCAGAAGTGCTTAGTAGACCGTTTTGAAACCGTGTTGAGCGCATAGCCAAACCATCAAGAAAATTTAAATGCAAACAAAAACATAACAATTTGTGATATTTTCTCGTGAGGTTGTGTTTTGGCTTCGACTTCCAGTATATTATAAAAATGACTGCAGACAACGCCGTCTTCAAGCGTCAAGCAGGAGAGATCCAAAGAGGCAAATGCGGTGCTGAAATCTGAACAGCAGAACCAAATGTTGAAGGATGGTCGGCTGCAGAATAGAGATGGGCAGCGAGAATACGAGGTACAAAACTTAGAGAGTGCTATCTTCATATAGAGGTTGCAACTGTGAGAAGACAAAGGAAAGGGCATGCAACTGCTTTTTCCAACATCCCGGATACCGGATCCTAGAGAACAAATTCGATGCACCAAATTTTACAACTTCCTGGGAATGGAAACTGTGGC